CTTATGCTGTTTCCTTTTTCAGAATAAATAGTTGAAAGTGGGGAAGTTTCATGGAAATACTAAGTGGAAATTGCTAATTTTGCTGAATTGGTAGCTGAAGATTAATGACTTGTATGATTTCGTTCGTGACATTGGAGTTTCGGGTGTCTGTATCTTAGATTTTTGTATATGCTTGGTACCTGTGTGTGTATTTTACATATATTGGAAGTCTGTTTTCACTTTTAATTATTACAGTATGACAGTTTGTGGTGTTGATGAAATACAGGTCAAGATTGCAAGAGGAGTCGTTGTTCAAGGTCAGAATTGATGACTGCATTAGGTTTACATAGCAACCCAATGCGTTTGGTTTACAATGGCTTAGAAGCTTTTGCTTTTTTTGTGTGTGGACTTTATTGTCACTCATCTGCTTTTGATTTTAAAAAAGCAGTGCTTTATATTAAAGAAAATAAATAAAAAACCTCCAAACCCCTGTTGTTTATGCTTGTTTAACAAAGAGAACCAAGGTCCTGACTTGTGTCACGACTTATTTTAGAGTGGTTTGAAAAGCTGTTTTCTCCTTGTGTCCTTTCCCTGAGTGTCTGAAACATTCTTCTTTTGGTCCTCTTGTCTAAAAGCAAGAAACTAATATTTCCAGGAAGTATGTATGTGCATGTGATACAGAGAGAGAGAGATACAGTGTTTTCATATAACATTTAACTAAAAAACCCTCAACAAAACACAAACAAACCAACCAATGATTTGTATGATTTCTTTCATACGCATGGGTACCTCTATGTTAATACCTACTATAAAAAGGTTCAGTATGTGTGAACGTAAATACCAAAAAAAGGAAAATGCTATTAAAATTTAAATTGCTTATGTATCACATTGTGGCTGGGGAGGTCTGAAGAATCTTCATCGAGTTTTGTTTTCCAAAAGAATGGTAGAATGATCTGAAGTATTTAAATCATTATATTGGGAAGACAGGATCAGTGATGCTACTAATTTTCTTGGCCAGCACCACATGGCCTGAATGACAGGGAGAGTGTCTCTTTGCTCTTTGAGGTAATACGGCTGATGTCATTCTTCCTTTGCTGCAGGGAGCTTGAAATCACAGTGTCTTGGTAGGTGCCCCAGAGACAGCTCTGGATTGGGTAGTTTTGTAGATTGCTTAAATCTGATGTTTGCTTTAGATTGATGTGAGGCTCTGTGTTAGTTGGGTGAAATCCTGTAGGATTTCTAGAAAGTAAGTAGGTTTCCCCTTTCTTCTGAAGGGGTAAAAGCAGCTATGCAACAGCAGCTGGAAGAGAAGAGTGAGAATATGTGAGAGAAACACCAAAGTTAGTAAGTAATTCTAGAAAGAAAGATGTTCTGATTATCATAATGCACATCTGGGCTGGGCAGTCTTGAAGTCTGAACACTAAGAGCATTTCGACTGTAAATAAAATCATTTTGAAAGCAGTCATATGCTCTTCCATTCAGGTGTGGCTATTCAATTTTATTCCTGTGAATTTCTATATATCTTTATTTTAGGATAGGAGGAAAAACCTTTCAACAGAGAGATTATTTTTTACTTAATAATTGGAATCTCTCTTTGTAGTTTCAGAAACAAATTGAAGAAAAGACATTCAGGCTTCATAAGATGATTTCTCTGTATGGGAAAGATTAATTATACCATCCGGTATTTTAACAAAATATTGAATTACTATGACTTTTATACAGAAAATAGCACCTCAATTTTTCATTGTTATTTCATAAATTAATTTTTAACATCTAATTTTAGCTTATTTACTGTATGAAAGAATGTTCTTTCTTAGTATGCCTGAAATATATTTCCTTGTAATGCTAGGGTATTTCATAGCTTTTTGTGCCTATTTTTCATATATACTGTGGGGGATGACACTGAGAATAGAGTAATTTCTACTTACCCTATTTGTTTGGGATCTTGTAATGAAACTATTTGGTTCCATACATCATGACTGGCACTGTGTCACAACCAGAAGATCCAGGATGTGCAATTCCAGGTGTTAAGGAGTGGTTAGCGGTTGCTGTGGTGAGGGTAAGTAGGAAAAAGCAATCACATGGGATTTTAGGATCAGACCAGGACGAGAGGAAGCATGCAGCAACAGAAGCTGTGAATTGGCTGATTTGGATGTCCTACTGAGCTACTCCTTTGGGCTGTGTGTATTTGCAAATAGGGAGGATGGAGAGCTGTAAGGTACTAAAATAACCCTGTTACTATTAAGAGCAAATAATTTTAAGTTAAGCAAGTTATTTCACTCTGTGAAACTAAAGCTACACTTTAACTTTCTCAAAATCGAAGCTTTTCATGCTGGTTTTAAAACCAGCTTAGGGTGCTGATAAATCCTGCTGCTTCTCCCTGTGAGACAGCAAAAAGCAGGCGCATACATAAAACAGAGGGTAATGATATAGCTGCATGGCCTAATGTCTGTTCTGTTAAAGGGTAGCGTGTTTAATGAGTTTCATCTAGCATAGTTTGGTGTATTTGTATTAGCCCCTCTTTGATATACTGTTTTCGGAGCAACCACATTTCAACTCTTTTAAGTCACTGAGAGAAGACTGTAAAAAAAATCCCCACTAAATGGCAAGCATGTAAAAAAAGTTATTTCAATAGTATATGTTATTTTCTGTCTTTTTTGCCAGAGTTGTTCTCTGACTCTCTGGCATAGAGGATGCTCTTCCTTTTTGATCTGTTTATTCAGCACCTTAAACAGAGTATTTTTGATCAGTGCTCAAACAGTAACTGTTCAGCAACTTCTAATACTTTGAATCCTATGCAGAAGTTGCTGTTCTTCTTGTCTTCTGCTGTGTTGTGTGTAGAACAGTTGCTGGTATCACAATTGTAATGTGAAGCTGAGTAGCATAGAAATGATGCCTCAGAAAGGCTTCTTTAAAACTATTTTAGGTCAGCTAGAGAATAGTAGGACTTTGGAGCAATACCTCGTTTTGGATAAAATGAGAATAAATTTTACCATTAATTTTATTTAAACTTCTCCTAACCTAAGGAGAATATATTTGATGAAAGCCTGTAACCTTTGAGCTAGATGATAACTGCAGACATTCAGTTAATTTTTGAAATGTTTTGTAAGCTCCCATGTCAGTTCATCTTACATTCCTCTCTTACCTGCAGAAGAACATAGTTGTCCTTTATTAAAGGGGAGAGAAAACTGGAAATGCTTGAAGTTTTCAGAGTGTTAGTTTGGATTTTATTTCCTGTGCAAGTAAATCTTTGGAAATGTAAGCTGTTTCTCACAAAAAAAAAAAAAAAAAAAAAAAAAGGAAGGAAGGTAGGAAAACCAGTCACTCAGAAATGAAAATAAGACCATGTCTGTAGCTGGGAAGCATGAGAATGTCATTTTTTCAGCTTAACACTCTTATTCAGGGAAGCAGTTTTCCATATTGTGCATTCTTCCAGGGCAATGATAATCTTTTCTTCTAGCTGTTCCTTTAGGAAGCACATCATACGTTGAAAATGTATTAATAATAATAAAAAAGTCATTAAGTTAATTTTTTTTTTATTTATTTTTTTTTGCGTAGTAACTTGGACAAATGGAGCTTGAATCTTTGTTTCTTGTAAAGTCTTCCGATATTTTTTCTGAAAGCTTTGGGTACTTTAAGTATAAACCTCTATTTTTTTGCAGTAAGTTTTTGGCAAGGTGGGTGTGTCCTGGTCTTGTCTGGGATAGTTTTCTTCCTCGTGGCTGGTGCAGTACCCTGTTTTCGACTTTAGTCTGAGAACAACAGCTGATAACACATGGATCTTTTAGTTGTTACTCAGTAGCACTTACCCTGGTCAAGGACTTTCCAGTCTCATGCTCTGCCAGTGAGGAGGGGCACAAGAAGCCAGGAGGGAACACAGCCAGGGCACTTGACGTGAAGTAGCCGAAGAGGTATTCCATACCACAGCATGTCATGCCCAGTATATAAACTGGGAGGAGGTACCTGGAAGGGATCTACTACTGCTCAGTTCAGGCCTGGGTATTGGTCGGCAGGTGCTGAGCAATTGCACTGTGCATCACTTGTATTTATTGGGGTTTATTCCTTTTTCTGTCTTTATTTCCTGTTGTTATTGTTGTTATGATTATTATAATTGTCTTTTACTTTGTATCAGTCATTAAACTGTTCTTATCATGACCCATGGGTTCTTACCTTTTTTCCTCTTCTCCCCATCCCACTGGAGGGGGTGAGTAAGTGACTGTGTAGTACTTAGTTGCTGGCTGAGGTTAAACCATGACAAAGTGTAGGAAAAGAGGCTTGTCCTATGCCTGTATTATTTCCTACAGGCTGTATAAATGAAGTGAGAAGTTTTAAACATCTTCCTTTTCTTTCAGCTTTAGGAGGGATTTTGGATGATTGCCATTTTTTTCAAAGAACAGTCTGCTCAAACAATGTTGTTTTTATCTGTGATACAACCACACATTTCATTGTCATCTGGATGGTCCAAATCTAGAATTAACTTTTTCTCTGGCAGGTGGTATTCATATCGATAGTAAATAAGTACTCTAAGTACGCACAAGTTACCTTATTTTGTAAAAACAATTCCTTAGTGATGCTTGAGAAATGAAAAATATCTGTTCTTAAACTGTGATTAGATAATTTATGTAGGAAGGGAAAAGGAGGGACAGTAACATCTTTGGGTGCCTCAGGTAACATCTATTGAGAAAAATCTAAGCCTAAATTAATAATGGAGAAAGAAATAGCATTTTCATACTTCTTCCTTACAAAGACTGTCAGAAAGTATCAGCCACACTATTAAACCTACTATGAATCTCCTGTTTTAAGAGGTGATTTTTCTCTAACATGGTCTTGACATTTTTACAGACCTTTGGCAGTCTCAAGCCCTTCATTTTTGTAGGTAAGTATATGGTATGTTTGGATCAGAACATTAACATCAATTTGTGGTAGTTCTTCACATTTAGTCACTACATCAACTCATGAGAATTTAATAGCTACAGTAGTGATATGACCTATATGACACAGATGTTTTTGAACCTTTACAGGTCATGAGCCAAGTTGAAGGACGACAGAAGAATCTTGTACAAGCCATTGAAGCTCTGCCAAGTTCTGGGCCCCTTTCTGCCTTGGATCAGGACTTGCTGCTTTTAAAAGCTACCTCTGCTGCCACCCTGAGCTGCCTTGGAGAATGCCTGACTCTGTTACAGCAAAGCATGCATCAAGTGGGCCAGAATCATAACAGGCCACTGTCATCAGGTAAGCACAAGCTCTCTTAGGTATTATCTGTGTGCCTTGGGTTCTTTTATTATGATACTGAAGCAGGCAAAATTACAGATTCCTCAGAGGGGCAGGTTGGGGTCAGCAGCTTGTAAGTTTCTACAGCCTCAAGTATCACAAATCTTTGTCTTTGCATAGAAGAAGATGCAAAATTTATTGAAATCAGAAGAGAGGAGGAAAAGAGGTTATCCTAAGTCTTCTCAGGGAAATCACGTTCTGAAAACAGCAAGACAAAAAAAAGGGGATGGGGGAGGGGGAAGAGAGACATGGGGAACAGGTAGATAAGCATTGTATTTTTAATGACCCTGCTGGGTTAGTTTGTTTTGCCACCTTATTATCTTTTTCTTTTCTTTTTAGATTGAAATCACAATGCAGATTTGCTTGATGATATATAATATTATGCAGCAAAAGTGAAAAACCGTATTTCTAGTTTTAACCACATGGAAGGATGCTGCTGAGACAGATCTATTCCAATCTGCTGTTTTCTTTAAAACTGGAAAGAGTTCTCCATGCTGCCATTAAAAATAAAATAAAAAAAACTATGGCAAACTTTTATGAGCCTAAAATATCAGTGTGATTCTGCACTGAGCTCTGCAATCATGAGTCTCATTGTCCCCATGTAGCTCAATTTTTTTGGTTCACCCAGCATTATATCTCTGTCCATAATATCTAAAAAGGGGGTCAGTTTGTTTCCATATGCAAACTGCACTACCTTGTCTAAGAGCAGGAGCAGGACTCTCAATATGGGTTGGCTTTTTATGTTTTCTTCAAGTGCTTCAACAACATCCCTCTTACAGTAAGTTTACTACTGGTAGGATATGCCCTCAGGACTGCTGAGGCAGCTAGGTAGGAAGCCCGCTGAAGAATTCCTGTTGTGGGGAGAATAGAAATGTGAGACGGTCAGCTGAGGAGTAGGCAAATAATGTAACAAGTGTTCTTGGGGAAAAAGTGTAAAAACTTGGAGTATTTTGTGGCTTTCCCACATCCAGATTCTGATATATTTCATACAGGATTATATAAAAAAAATCAATGAATTTTATTCTCTACATTCTGTCTTACAGAAAATGCAAAAAAGCCCCTGTACTTTCCTAAATAGCAATTATGAAGTGCATGTAATTGAATTGTTTCATATAATTTCATTTCAGAAGAGAATGGTTTGGAACAAAGCTGAAAAATAACTTAGTTTCAGAAACTAAGTCCTTGAAATTTGTTTTTCATGTCCATATGATCTAAGTGAACTGTTAGATAAATGACTTGAGTTGTACATGTCCTTGGATCTGTGTCAAAATAATTTTCTGTTAGATCAGTGTCTTGATTTGAAAGTGATTTTTGAGGATTTGTGCACAAGAACAGGGAAGAGCAAGCATAGCATTAGTAATTGCTGAAAGAGAATTCCATATTTTTGGGGAGAAAAAAAAATAATGTGGAAAGCCATGGCTGTAAATAAACTTTAGTCAGTGTTTTTGTTCCTCCTAGGAGGACAACTTGTACAACAGTCCTTTTAAGAATCAAAATTCTGTAGTACTGGTTCACATGCACATCTTTGGTATAACTGTGAGAACCTGAATGCACACAGTTATCTCTTCAGTGTGTGTGTGTGTGCCTATTCTTTGGTATATAATTAAAAAAGAAAAAATGAAAAGATGAAAGAATAACACAAGGAGCTAAAAGCTGCTGAAATACTTCAGCTCTTCTCCCTGACTGCAGGAAAATAATATTTTTTGTTTCCTTTTCTTTTCCCCAGGCTTTATTATGCAACACAGTTGCCTGACAGAACCTGGCCTACAAGTCTTGATTACTGATTTTCCTACACACTTAATCTTATGCAGGCATACTTTGATAGGCTTAGCATTTCTGTTGAGTTGGTAGCGTGTCAGTCATCAAAGCTGCATAAACTTATACCTACTCAGACTAATGCATTTAAGTAATCCTCTAGCAGACTCTCATTTTGAGACATACTTAGTTTGGATTCTGTGTCCTCCAGGTGAATTTTTTTAATTTCATACTCAGAAGGCACAACCAAAAGATGACCTTTACTGTCACCTGTCAATATTGTCAGGTGAAAGTGACTCTTACTAGTTTAAAAGCTGTATGTTCCTCTGATAGGAAGTCTTAAATGCATTTCCCATGAGATGCAGTGGCCCTGTACAATTGTTAAATGTTTCCATCCTAGGCTTATTACCTGCTGCATAGTATCCAAGATGCTAGGGGAACTATGGAGTAGGATCCACAGAATTTTGTAGAAAGAGACAAGATAAGAAAATAAGTTACCAAATTCCTGCTTCTAGCCTACAGTTCATGAAAGCAGTCCAGTCCAGCAAAGCAGCACAGTCCTGCTCATGTGCAGTGTGAGAAATAATCAACAGCTTAGCTTTGGTGGTTTGAACTTACCCTCCGGTTTACCATCCTTCAGGGTCAAAAGCTCTCACTATTATGCCATAAAGAGAGAATTGCCTGGAAAGTAGATGCAGATCTTTCTTTGCTTTCTCTTTACCTTTGCTCTGCTTGTGTTCTTGAAGTCTTTATGGCCAATTATGCAAGGTTTACTGATGACCTTGTGCATTGTAGGCTTTGTAGTCTTACCGCTCCTAATGCAAAGACTTACAGTAGGTGAATTTCTGACCTAGTACCTATGGAATGCACTCATGAAGATTATAGGTAAATAGCAGCTGTTTTAAATAGATTTACAGGCCTTTATTGCTTTGAACGAGAAAATGGCTTCTTTTGATGTAAATATTTTTATTGTTTTGTTTTCCAGTAATGTGAGCAGAAAGAAAGAAGCTTGGCATTCAGTTTAGTGGAATCTTATCTAGAATCTAGGACGGTGTAGCTCTTGACTTCACATATTTTTATGGCATCCTTTGCCATGGAATAGTTTAAGGATGACATGATTTTTCCTCTTCATTTTCATGTTTTTCATGAGTTGACAGTCTTAGACCTGACGCCTACAAGCAGACATGAAACCGAAATCTTCAATCGTGTCTTGAAGGGTAGTCAATACATGTTTTATTTCCATTCTAAAGCTTGAGGGAAATGTTTTTGAGATTGTCTTTTTTGTTAATTTTTGATTTTGGAAGTATATCAACAAGAACAGTCAGTGGAGCAAAATCCTGTCTGTGTTTCTACTGTTGAGTCAAAATAACAATTTCTAGCTGTTGTTAAAGGTATGTGCATTGATCACTGGCAAAATTATTTTTAGGCTTTTTTTCTTTCATTGAAAAATATGCCAGAGAAGGATATTACTAGCTGAAAGTATTGTTTAAGTGTAGTTTGAGTTGAGGATAAGGAATTGCATCTATACAAGCTTCTTACAGTTTAGGAATTTTGCTCTTTTTGTAGAAGGGAGAAAAATGTCAAAGATTTTCTTACTGCCCAAGAATATCACCATTTAGATGCATGTAAAGCACTTGCTAATCAGCATTAAGTTCCTTGTGCGAAGCTTGAGTTCTTTTAGCATGCAGACCTTTTAAAATAAAAATGTGGAGAAGAAGCTTTTGTCTTCACTTAAAACTTTGAAACTTTTAGTGTTATTTTTTCTGCCTCTATGGCCTTTGGCAGAAGAGTATGAGAGCCTATTGACTGCTATGGCTAATATCTTTCCCAAACTGTGAGCAAAGCAAACATCAGTGTTTTAAAGTAGCTTTACCAGCTTATATTGTGTTTTAAGTATGGGGTGGGTTGTTTTGTTTTGTTTTGTTTTGTTTCGTTTTGTTTTGTTTTCTTCTAGTATTTTGGCAGAAAGAATCTTGTAGCAGCAGCCTGCACACATAAATCTGTTCTTTGAGTCTGTGTTTCAACATTAGCCATTCATTTACTGCTTAAAGCATCTCCTTGATAGAAATTCTCTCCTATGCTTTTCTGTTTCTCACTTGCTCACTTTTCCAAACTGTAAAATAAAATGGTTTGGTCTGTTTTGTTTTTTTTTTCCTGAAGATTTTTTTAAAAACAAAACCCAAACCCATTCTTACTATGGATATTCTGAAGCATATTTGAATGTGCAAGTGCTGCTTGTTTTGGCTGCCGTGACAGCAAATGGATTGAAGATATTTTGGAGTTGGGGGGGGATACACTTGAACTTTATTTTAGCAGATTCTCTGTTGCCTCCTTTTTAGAGAAAATAAATGGACAGGAAAGACAAAATCTAGATGCTTTCAGTTTGGTGACAAATGACAACTAGGGATTCTCCTGCAGCTGAGATGGCAGGAAGAGAGAAAATTGAGCAGAGGAGTCTTCTTTCTTGCTTTCCTCTTTCCACCCCAAATGCTTCTGGGCAGGGAAGAGTGAGGAAAAAAGAGAGAGAACATATTCTTTGTTACTGATGTAATTTGCTAAATTCAGTGTGGTGAGTCAGGTCTCCCTTAAATGCACATCACTAGACTTGATTCTGTCAAGAATAGCCAAAACAATTTGCTGTTCTATCTAAACGCTAATACATTATTCCTTACATGTTCCTTTTGCTTTTAAAGATAAATACTATTGTCTAGTCCCAATATAGCATTAGCAGATAAATCATTGTCTTTCTAATCCCAAAAGCAGATGTGCAGCTGCCACTTGCTGTTGCTGATTCAGCCTGCTTTAGGATTCAGCAGAGAAACTAAACTGTTTCATCTATCCCAGGCAGCAGAAGGAATCTAGATCTAATCTTGGTGTCTCCTTGAGGTCAACTGTTGCATTGTTAGTGGGTTAGCATATAGAGTATATATTGTAAGAGTTTTATCAATAGATGTTAGCTTACAACTGTGCCAGGAAAAAACATAAGGTTTATTTTTTAGTCTATAAACCAACACCAGAGGACTTAAAAATAGAAACGTTTTTGTATAGAATTGAGGTAGGTGTTAAACATATTTCGTGCATCAATGATTATACAAAAATGTGGTTTAAAGGTACATCAGGTACCTAGGAAATGAGAACCAACAAAAGAAAATTATCAACAAAGCTTAAGTGAAAAATATTTTGTAAACCCTGTCTTTGAGGAGAATTTCCCTTCTGCTGCGTGCACCTGTGAAAGGAAGACACGTTTCTTCTGAGAGCATTTGTGTGGAGAACAGCCTGTTGTGCCATCTGAAATAGATGAGATTTTATGGACTAAAGCATTGCTATAGGGAAAGGAGCATAGGTTGTGTCTGGATGCTGTACTTTTCTTATGTAGAAGCATTCTGCTGTGCCTTGGTGGATTTGTTTGCTTTGTGTTCATCACTGTGGAAATCGATGTTGAGATGAAACAGGAAAGAAGCTTTATTTTGGGTATTTTCTATAGTGCTTTGTGCTTAAAGCAAACAGTAAAGTAGCTGTGTAACTATGAATCTTTTTGTCATTTGTGACTGCCTTTATGGAGCATTTCTTTAGAACTATGAAATGTATCAAAGTAAGAATTGAATTTACCTTTGTCAGCTGTCTTTGGCTATGACTGAGAACAGAGCAAAAACTGATTTAGAAACAAAATAGTGACAGCAGTTTCTTCCTGTTCTTGTCCAACTCTGAAGATACATGTTTAGGTTTTGTGTTTTCAGTTTTTTTTCTTTTTCTTCTTGAAGTCTTTAAAAAAACAGGAATTGATCTAGTGATAGAAAATTCTGAGTGCCATAAAGTGGCAAAGATGGCAACTCCATTAGTGTGGATCAAATCGATTATAGATGGCGCTTAGTCTGTGGAGAGTAAACTCCAATAAAATAATTTAATATGGGACAGATAACAACTACCTGTACTATTTTGTGGTAAGAGTAATTTCTGCTAGTGCAGATGAGAATATTTTGGATGCACAACTGATAATGTGTGTAAAGAAGGAGCCACATTGTTGTGACCTTTCACTTTTTATATAGAGATTGTCTTCTGATCTCAGTTGATTTTTAAGGTTATTTCTGTTGAGTTCTGTCTTCATACTCTGCTTTTGCCTGAAAAGTAGGCTGCTGTATTGGGATGGGGTGCTATATTGGGATGGTTCGAGAATGCTGACATCTCAGATTTGTAGATTAAAGATCATCAAAGGTTCCCTGGTGACACTTTGCAGCTAGGCATTTTTTTTCAACTGACTTTTTGCTTGTTTAGGCTTCTGTGGTATATGACTAATACCTTTTACTGTATGTGTGTCTTGCAAACGAGCCAAGTTCCAGACAGAATTTAACAAAACAGTTTTTATGATATGCAGAGGTGTTGAGGAAACAGATGTGCTTTATCCTTTGGATCTGAACTCTGAGCATCCTGTTGGTATGGGCTAGGTCATAATATGTTGTTAAGATCTGTTTAAAAATTGATCAAGCTGACAAGATTTGTTGGTTTGTGAGGGTGCCATTGCCCTTGGGACAGGTGGAAACACATGCTTGTTCTAACAGTTTCTATTTCTATAACAGAGTCTCTAAAATGTGTGGAGAAAGATGGAATAGTCTTTTACAGTGTGTTTGTATTGAAGTGGAAAACTAGTATAGTGGTTTTAAAATATGTAAGTGATGGTGAAGTAAATGTTCCCACTTAAGAATTTCCCCTGGAGCAAGGTATTTATTTAAGTGGGATATTTTTCTTGTGCTTATTTACAGAAGTTAGATTAAACAAAAAGTTGTTTACAGTGAAGGCCAAATAGGCTGTGTGTGCAGAGAGAAAATGGATAGCCCAAGGAAAAGATCAAATTACTTGTTTTCAAAGATTGGCATAAAGATAAGTCAGTTTAGTATTTTTTTTTCAGTCTCTCTGTAATAGAAAAATAGCAGTAACACAATATTCTGCTGTTTGACAGGGAGAAACAGAAAAATAGATTGAGATTTGCTGCTGCAGGGTCACAAGGGGTGAGGAGCATAAGTGTGCTCCATAAAACTCTGTGGCTGTTTAAAAGTAAAACAAGTTTATTTAAACATTTTGTTTGGTTGTTTTTTTTCTTTCTTTGAAATCTGTACTAGTTAAGATCAAAAAGAATGTATTTTTTAAATGGTATATAGACATGTGAATTCCCTCCAAGGAGCCAATATTTGAGAATTTCCAGGTTAGTTTATTGTTCATGCTCATGGCTATGATTCCTTTGTTCCATGCAGTGAGAGTCCATTTTGGATCTGCCAAAACAATCTTCAGATTATCCTCTGAATCAAAGCTTGTTTTGAGGGATCTAGGGGTACCCTTTGTTTTCTAGCAGCAAATTACTGACCTGAGGAGAAAGCAAAACACTAATACTACAGTCACTGTGCTCTTCATTCCTTACCATGTATACCAACACCGTGTGTGGATATAACTCCATCTTTGGAATGAGGGCAGTTAGCTTCCTGATGTGTAGGACCAATGTGTAAAGCCAGTCCCAGAAAATGATCTTTTGTTGCAGTTTCTTTGTCATCGTTCATGTAACAACTAGGATTTAAAACATCTACTGGCATAGTCCTCAAAGTCATTAGAACCCTAGAAGATTTACAGTTTCAGGCCTGACAGCAGAGCCACAGAGATGTTCTGCGTTTGGCAAGGGGAAATTTGGGTTATTGTGTGAAATACACATATAAATTAAAAAAAAAATAAAAAAGCAGCTGGATTTTTTTCCCCTGTTGATTACTCAGATCTTTCATTTTATACTTAACTATTTGCTGATGCTTTCTTCAGCAAAGGGTGGTGCCACAAAAATCACACTAAGTAGACCTGAAGTTTTGTCATGTCATCATAACTTAGTGCCATTTTAGATGAGAGGAGTTTTCTGTAATTATCTTCAGAATTTGGTAAGAGGTTAGCTATAGGATTTTTGGCCCATTTTTTAATAATGTAGTGTTAATATATTATACCTCACCAGATCGAACCATTTATTTTAATTAGGAGGCAACCTCAGATAACCCTGGTGATACGGAGAGGAGAAGCTGCATGTTCTTTAATGTACTTTTGTACTTTGAATTGCACTATCTTAAAAAGTTGTCAGTGATAAAAGAAGGAAATCCTCCCTCTGGCACCAATTGTATTTTTGCCTACAAATTATGGTAATGACTAAAGAGCTGTGATTTTCTTTTCCATATCTCTGCATTTTATAGCAGCCTGTAATTAATAGCTGAAATTTAAGCCCCATGCTCAGGGCTACTGATTTGAATGTGGACAGTATGTTTTAGAGCAGTAAGGGAGGAATATCTGTGTGTTAGCTGATCATTCTTTCTGTCTTGGCATCCTTAAATACTGACCCATCCTGGAAATTGGGTGTCCCCAGGAATAAGGGTTGTTCTGATGTCTGGTTTTGTTTGATTCATACTTAATGTGTGTCTTTGTTATGAGATCTCTTCTAAACTGTGGTCTTGGGACCAGCAGAGAGAGCATTTTAACACTTAATCTGGAAAGGGCTTTTAATAGTACAGAGAGAAATAAAATACAGCTACTAAACTTAAAGCTCTGATTTCAGGCAGAAGAAATGTAGGGTTTACTTGGATAAATTCATAACTATTAAAATAGTGATAGAGAATACATGCTTTACTTACCATGGTGTGTGTCAGATTGTATAATCTTTATGTGTAATCCTGTCTGCTGGTAAGAGTAACACTTAAAAATCTTCTTTCATTGAATTTTTAAAATATTTATCACAGATAAATTTGCATAGAAGATGCTGGAGTATTTTTGTTACCAAAGTAAAACTGTGTGGAAGCAGAGAAGAGATGGCAGTTGATTTATGTTAGTAGAATGATCAGATGAATGGAAGAGATCTGTAATCTATCTGTTATAAACTGATATGGATTATTTTCTGCTTTAGAAGGTATCCTGGGATGGTCTGGGCCCAAGTCACAGTCCACAGAGCAACTGAAAAATGGTGCTCTCAGCTCCTTATCGACCGCTAGTGCCAGCATTACATGGGCAATAGTTCCATCTGCAGCCCAGGATGGACCGGCACTACAGCCAAATACAGAGGTAAGCACAGTAGGTCTCTAGGCCATTTCTGTTGTATCTGAGACTTGACTTTGGTTAGATGCATCATGGTTTAGTGGTGGACGTGGCAGTCCTGTCGTAAATGTTGGACTTGATGATCTTAAAGGTCTTTTCCAACCTAGTTGATTCTATGATTCTATGTACGATTGTAGATGCTTTTAGTAATTACTTATCATACTTTTTTTTTCTTTATAGTGTCCTCTTTGTTAGAAATTAGTTGTGAAAATGCCGAGTTTCATGCAAAAGTGCAGTTTAAAAACTAGAAACATACATTGATGGTATAGTGGTGTGCCTTTGCTTCTCTGAGGTACTTTGGACAGTGGACTGTGGCAAGCATGCAGTCTCTAGTCGTAAAAGCAGTTAACAGACTGTCAGTACACATTTCTATCTTCTGCTGATAGAAAAAGCTTTTTATACTGGTTTGAGAAAGAGAGGAGAAATTAGGACCACAACATCTGCTTGCTACTTGTTCTTCCATGTTGCTGTTTGCTCTTGGGTGTCTCTTGAGCATCGTTGACTATACTTTGAGTTGTAAAACCGTATTGTTTTCTGACCCCTTTTCCTGTTAAGTGATTGTGGGCAGAACTTGTCCACATCATCTTGCACCAGCCTGTTGATTTATGCTTTTGTGGCATTTACTTGGTAAAGGGCAGTTCTGAAGCATCGACTCTCTGAGGAAGCTCACAGCTGCGTATCAGGCATCTCATGCACTGAAAGTCTCTCACCATGACAAACTTCTCCAGCTTCTACTGTCTGCTTCGATTACCAGTGCTGTCCATCAGGAAAACACTTCACTCTGAGACACCACAGATTGTAGGGCACCTGAAGCATGTGAGACCTGGAGAACTGGGAAGAAGTTTTTGAGAGAGCTGAAGAAATACTTTTCTGCTACTAGTGAATGCTCTTTGGCAGTTGGAATGGCTTAAATTAAATTATATTGCCTTTAACAAAATGTGTAATGGCTGGGGACATTAATAAAGCTGTTTGTTTTTCCAGTTTGTTTGTAGTATCTTGAATTCAGTATAGTTCCACAAATCCAAGGATAAACCAGATTGACCTTTTTTTAGTTGCGTGTTACTTTGGTCCTCTTCCAGATCTGTCCTTAATAATTTCAAATTCCTAGTGCACATTAATCACAGGATTTAAATTACCTGTAATTGCTTTTTATTAAGGAGTTGTGTAATTTGTTTTTCGCATAAGCCAACTGCAGTTCTGATAGTGCTTTTTAAAGACAAATAGGTATTTAAGAATATTGTCTGTGGAGTTACCACCTTACTCAGTGATACACTGCAGTTTCATTGGTTTTTTTTAGATGTTTGTATTCTTAACCGCCTGGTAAAGCCAAATGGATTGTTGCAGCAAGAACATGAAGAGCAGCCACTGATTTAACTCATCTCAGGGTATCATTTTGCAGTTGAGTGGAGCTATTTACGTCTTGTTTTAAATGAGAATTTTTTGTCTAAGGTCCAGTCTCTTCCCGTTGTTTGTTGATGAGCGATACTGAGTTGCTGTTACAGCTTGAGGCACTGCTTTGCCTGTGGAACTCATGATTTATTGAGAGAGGAGTACTCTTGAAGAGAAGGATATAATCAAGGGAGCATATCACTGTTTGTAGTACAGAATCCTCAGTGCTTTGTGGACAGTCTTCCTGAAATCATGTGGTCTGACCCAAGATGATCTGAAACCTTGATGTTTTCAACTGTAAGAAGGCCCTGAGGCACTAATCCTTAAGGGGGGGGGATGAGGGAAGAGAATAAATAAGATTAAGTTATGAAAAGATCAGCTGAAGATGGTGGTTTTGACAGAAGCAGTAAATGGAAGTTTGTGGATTGGTGGAGCAACAAGAAGCAGCTGGATTCATGTGTATGATATTTCTTATGATAGTACAGTTTATTACGCAGAAAATCAGTTTTGTCCCAGGAAAATGGCCTGAATCAGGATTCATTCCCTCAAGCTACTTCCAAACCTGTGTCTTCATTTCCACTCAGTCCCTGTGTGCTTATTGTTGTCTCTTGGCTTGCAATTTGAAGCATTCTTTTCAATGTAACTGATGTATTTTTCAGATTTGATCATTTTGATCAATATGCCAGTGCCCCACTGGAAGGCTCAAGCACAAAATCTGAATTATGTAAGAGGTGAACTGTTGCATCTAACGTATGTTGATGCTTTTGTTGGATACTCATCTTCATATCAAACAAGTTGTCATGACCTGTTACAGAGGCTGCACCTCTCAGCTGCTATCAGATCCTTTTCTGGGAGAGGAGTTGAAGTTTCTCTTGTGTGCTGCAGGTCCTGCCCATCTCTCCAAAGCTGAGCAAAGTGTTGAACAGGAAGCTGGAGCTGCTTGTTGTTTCTAGAGAAAGGAGGGTGAGAGAGCAGGCTTTGAATAAGAGAACAATCTTCTAAGCAACAGAACTGTTATGCTGCTAAGGATGAGCCAGGTAGCTACCCAGGAGATGATGCTGGACACCCTCCAAAGTTATCAAAGGTGTTTGACTTCACACTTTTACACTTTTAACAATTCTGTGTGCAGTTTTTAAGCATATTATTAAATGTATTCTGGCCTGTTTTGTGTCCAAGTTCATTTACTCAGTATGTCTAATTACATATAAAAGCAACTGCAAATCCTTTCATACCACTTGTCTTGTGGTCCAGATACATTGTTGATAATAATTGTGATGGCAACAGCAGAGAATGAGAAAACACATCTAGATGTCATTGCTTGATAATTTTTTTTGACATTGAAGGCCCTGATTTTTTTTATTTATCTGGTAGCTCCTTTTAAATGTAGAAAAGTGCAATCCACAAATGTCATTCAACTGAAGCTTATTTCTCGTAATGATTTTCTTCTTAAAAACCCCAAACTAGGCACTGCATGATCCTCTTTTTTGAAGAAGTTGATAGTATATTAATGGGGCTCAGCTTTCAAAATATTCCTGCCAAAAGAAGTGAATCTTGCTTTTTACAGACACTATGAGAAGAGGGTGCTGTTTCCTCTGTGCTGTCAACATTAATTCCAGTTTCTTCTTTGACTGGGCCTAGATTTTTATTCTTAAAATCTGTACTTTTTCATGATATAACCTCTATCTCTTGGACAGAAGCTATACCCCAGAGGAATAGGAGAGAGCTTTTTGGCTAATGCTTGGCATAATACAGTAGATGTACTGACCAAACTGTGAATTGACCTCTAATCTGAAATAGAAAAAGCTATTAAATTACTACTATTGAGGAACAACTAACTCAGCTTCTTATATTATAGAATTGGCTTATAAGGAAAAGGTAATTTTAGGTACACAGGTCAGCAGTGATTTTAAAAAGAAAGTGGAGATTTTTGGTGAGGGGGAAAGATGAGTGCTGAGGATTCTTTCCTATATAGCAGGCTGGCAGGCAGTGGTTTCCTGGCAACGCGACCAAGTGGCTGAATGTTTTTCATGATAACTGTGTTAATTATCGGCACACCATGCAGACACTTTGCAGCAGTGCATTAACAAACATAATTAACAAAACAGGGACTTTGGCATGTTTTTTTTTTTGTATACGTTTATGAAGAGGCATGGATCTTTATAATTCTCCTCTGGAATAACAAGGTTCATCTGATACCCTTTTCTTTGAAAACTTTAGCATTCTTGAGAGATATAATGAGTTAGAAGTTGAGCTTTGACGCTGTCGATAACTGAAGTAAAACTTTTCTTTTTGGTCTGTCACAGTCAGGGTTTCAGGAATGCAGAGATTCTCCCTGGGTGAAATAATACAGCAGCTAAAGATTCTTCTCTTTGGATAATGTGTTGGTGTTTACTTGCTTTTGTTAGTTAGGGTGTTCCTTGCTTCCAAATACAGGGATTTAATTTTTTTTTGAGGTATTGCTTAAAATTGTCCAGTTAGTACAAGATTTTGTGGCAGAGATTATTTTCTTGTGTGTTCTTTACGTATTTTAGATTGTCCTTTTTTGATATTGCTGTTTTGTCTTCCCAGCTGTGTTTCTTTATTCGGGTTGTGACACAGGACAGTATGAAGTTAAAGCCCTGTTACCATCACTGAAAGAAGTAACCCCTGACAACGAAAGGCTGGATCAAGCACTTCTATTTTTCATGCTTTCTAGGTTTTAGTTTCCATTTTTGGATTTTTTTGATCTGTCCACTGGAAACATCAGGTGGAAGCAGGGATAAGGGCTGAGTTAAAAAAAACTATTCACCTAGTGTGAGTTGATGTAAAATACTATTTTTTGCGCATCCCCTGGTGAAATACTTTGGACTCTTTGGCATAAGCTAAGTTATAATTTTAAGGTACTTCTTAGTGCTTTTGCCTTTAAGCAGAACATGACAAACCTGGTACTGAATTTGCCAGAGTTACCCTCTTCAGAGCTGTGACATGAACTTGCTCAGTCTGCAGTCAACAGGACCCTGCTTCCTTCATTTAAGGAAATCATCTTCAGAAAATGCTGGAATTGATTAGTTTTAAGATACTGAGTCTCGTTGTGAATTCAGGTATAATAAACTTGGCACCAAAGTAGAATAAAGGCGTGTGTCATTTCCATGTGTGAGTTACTGTTCTAGTTCAACTGATGGTCTTTCTGTGTATCAGAATTCCCCTTCTGGGCTGACAAAATATAACTGCAGGCCAAATGCTTCCCCTGGCAGCTAAATATAAATGGGTAACAGGCTGTTCTTATGTGGGACCTGAGAATGAAGGAATCATTTTTCTTCTGATCTAACAATTTAGTTAAGATTTATTACAGAAATTATGTTAGAGGTACATCTGTGATTTAGCTCTTTTCATGTAAATTTTATTCCTTAAAATGCGATGACAGCTGATTCTTTCCATCCTGTGGATCTGGTATCTATGCAGTCTTTCTGCTTTCCTGTCTCTAGCTTTCCCTGTACACTTGCTCCATATTGAAGTGTCTTTTTAATAGGATTGAAGTTTTAGCTCTGTAGGATTGAGGTTTTAGCTCTGATTATCTAACTGCTAAACCAGTTTTTAAT